TCACTGTCTGCGGGTTTTATTGCTTGCTCTTTCCTTGGAGTATGCTTGCTATGAATTTTTGGTCATCTCTATTACTATTCTGCTTCCTACAGAGTGGCTAGGCCCTATAGTATCTAGTTTACTGTATACATGTAGGCAGTTCCCCCAGCACTCTACCCCTTTGCTTAAAGCCTTTTGTAAAAAAATGAAATTTTTGGGCTTTAAGCAGGTAATGTTCTTTCCAACCCTTGTTTAGCTATACTCCATCCCTGACTAGGAACCAGTCGTGTTTAATCTGTGCTAGGGGCTTAATAGATATTTGTTGAATTCTTGGTGAATTACTAACTTCAAGGATGAGGGCAGAAGAAAAAGAGTAGCTCTGTATTTCCAAAGCCTCCATTTTAGGAAGGTTCTCCAGTGACTCATGTGATGGAAATAATGGAAAGAAGCTATGGAGAAATACTTCTGAATTTTCCAGAATGCTTTTTATATGCATTCTCATTTTATCCTTACGATACAGACCTATGAAGCAGATAATATGGATAGTGCTGGCAAAATTTTATAGGTGAGATAACTGAGACTTCATTTAACTGACTTGCTAAAGGTCACACAGATAGGAAATGGTTGGGAAGGGACTTGAGCTCTATATCTTGTGTGCTTTATTTTGTCTTTTTTTCAAAACAAATTTTATAGCTTATATCTTGTGCCATATTCTGTGTTTATCTTGGATATCCTCCTACTCCATGAAATCTTCCTTGTAACAAAGAAAACTCTTAAGAGAAACCAGAGTGATCAAGTTTGACAGTGTATACAAAATTTCCCTATTTCTTTACTGAAAGGAAGATTTGTTTCCTAATCTGTCTTCTGGGGCTTCAATTAGTTTCATAGTTCTTCAGCATTCATCTTAATTATCTTATTGTCTGTGTTCTTCTCTTGGCTATGCAATTCTTTTGGTGCTTCTTTGAATTCTACCTATCCACTTAATCTTATGGTGAAATTACAGTCCATTACATTCTTATACAACAGTTTGTTCAGGTATTCCCTCCCCTGTCAGTGGACATCCCCCTAATTTCCAGTTTTTGCTGTCAAAAAAAGTGAATATTTTGCATACTTGTGGGGTTTTTACATTGTACTTCCTACAATAACGGCCTCTTTCTTGAAGGAAAAAATGCCAGCAACTCTACTTTCTCAGTGTGTGTGCCCTTTTATTTTTTTAGTTTTATCTTTTTGGGAAGAACTAAGTCTAGTTATTTTGTATAGCTCAAGTGTACTTTGTTTACAGATGTGGAATTATTTGACAGAGTGACATGGTCCCTAAACTCCCAACTTCATAGGTGCTTTTATCACAACGTGGCTCTAAACACCTTCCTTGATGTATTTGTAGGTCTGAATTCTGGGAGAAAGAAATGATCAAACTAGAACAAAACCTGTAAACTGTATAGACTCATAAATGTGTTGGTGCTGCAGCATTTTATTCTGGCAAGTGAGGTGCAACAGGAAAATAAAAAATGGCCAAGAAAGATTTATGTGGCCCTCTCCTGATAAGCTTCTCTGATACCAGCAAATACTCTTTCTGCTTTGGGTATACTCAATACATTAATAGGCTGAAGATGGTTAAGACACTAAGCACTCCTGTTGTCTGCTGTCAACTCATTTACTGCTGACCCTTTGGTGTATATAGTTAGAGAAAAACTCTTTGTCTGCAAGATTTTGTAATACAATATAATATTTCCAGGAGGGAGAAAAGCTGTGTTTGTTTATTGACTGGAATTATAAAGTAGCCTAGGAGGAATTCTTCCTGGAACTTTTGATTTTGCTACAGGCTTGTTAAGGGAGTTTTGTGTAGGGGGTGGGGATTAGATGGTCAGTATATATTGGTGTTGGCAGGTAAATGGAAGGTTGAATTGGAAATACCTTTAAATATAAATACATTAATTTCTTTTGGCCAGAAAAGCCTCATCATCCTCGTGGAGACCTGGTTTCTACTTGATGATGAAGGGACATACTGCCCCTCCACAGTGCCAGTCTGTGACTTCTTTTTTTTTCCTCTATCCCTTTTTTTCCCCTCTTTGGCACAATAACCCTTCATACAAACAGATGTCATTAGTCTCTGAATTATGTGATGCAGGTGGGGAGAAAATGAGAAGGGCAGCTCATAGAATCATACATGGCAGTGCTAAGCATTTATCCAAGGTTTTAACCCCCCCAAATTAATTCTGTGACAAAACCACTGGTGCTTTACAGTCAAAACCCTGGGTTCTAGTCCTAGCCCTGCCATTTACTAGCAGTATACTTTTCAAAAAGTCCCTCAAATTCTCTATGCTCCAGTCTATTAATTGAGATAATTTTTTGCCCTACCCATCTTACCTCATGAAGTTGTTGTGAGAATCAAATAAGATAATTTATGTGAAAATGCTTTGTAATGGTAAATAATTCAAAATATTTTATCCTATAAAAATAATGAGTAACTGGAATCTAATTGACTTGTACTTGAGGAGAAATGTACTTTTAAAGATTAAAAAAAAAAAGTTCAGACCTGTGCTTTAATTGATGTGGGGAGCTCCTGGTGAAGAGCTTCCTCTACCAAGTGGGTTAGAACTTTCTGTGCACTTCCATTTATAGTCCATTTATAGAGAGTAGCGTGGGGTACTGAGTTGATTAAGTGACTTGCCCAGGGCCACACATCCAGGATGTGTAAAATTCTGGACTTGATCCAGGTCTTCTTGCCTCTAAGGCCAGCTGCTATCCATTATGCCACGCTGCCACTCTTATATCAATTTGTTTAAGAGTAATAAGCTACAGAATTGTTTAAAATGAACCTTTTCACTGGTGATAGGTTACTTTATAGATAGGAACAGTCATACACTCTATTCAGAATCCAATATGTTCTCCATTATAAGGAAAAATTTATTATCATTTTTTTTAATGAGACAGGTGGCTTATATCACCCGGACCTGGCATCAGGAAAACCTGAGTATAAATTCAGCTGTAGATGCTTCCTAGTCTTGTAACCCTGGGCAAAGTCACTTAACTTCTGTTTACCTCAGTTTCCTCATCTGTAAAATGGGCATAATAATAGCACCTCCATCCCAGGGTTGTTGTAAAGGATCAAATGAGGTAGTAATTGTAAAGGGCTTAGAACAGTGCCTGGCACATAATAAGCACATATACATACATGTTATTATTATTTTGTTCATGTTGAGATTGCATGGCTTTTTGGGCAGTCTTTCTGTTCTGCCTTTTTTGTCTGTGAGGGATTACATGTTTGCGAGGAACCCTTAAGGACAGGAGCCTTACAAACCAAATGGATTTGTTAATGGCCAAGGTAGTGGCTGCAATAAACTCTAAAACTAGAAAACTTACTTTTAAGCATTAAAAATATTGTGCTGGAAAAATTTATCACTTTGGCAGCTTATTGGGCTTATACACTTTTGTAGTTGTAGTTGCAGATCTGTCTTAACAAAAAAAAAGTCTTTTTATTTTACAGGAAGGGTAATTTGAATTATAGAAATTATGGCTTAGTCAATATTAATGTTTAGCAGTGCCGTAAAACCCCGGCTTACTTGTTGTTAATCGTCTCTCATGCTAGCTAGATCATTATGCTTTTTTTTTTAATTTAGCAATGCCATATTTGGTCCAATTTGAAAATTAGAAAATAGACTTAATAGGATAGCATTGAAGTTAGTTTAATTGGATCTTCTTGAATTCATGACTAAATTAGATACAACATTTATTAAACCTCTAAAAAAACCTCATTGCATTGCTTTTTGTGCCTCTGCTTCTACTGAGAATTTTAGAGGACTTTCCTTTTTTCTTACCTGTAACTGCTATATTAAAGGTACTATGCTATTATTTTTGTATTTTAAAGGATTCCTGAGAGACCAGTAGGCATTGTGACTTAGTGCAAAGGGCATTTGTGGGAACTTAGGACCTGAGTTCATGAAAAAATAATAGTTCTTGCCCTCAGGCATCTCACAATCTCTTGGGGGGAAGGGGAAGAAATATAACATATACCCAAATAAGTATAATACAAGATAGAATGTGATTGGATCAGAGAGATTATAAACTTTTTTGTTGGAGAGGATATTTATATTGACAAAATCATAGATCCATAAAGTATTGAAGTCAGTGTTGGGTTAATGATGTTGAAGGCCTGGAAGATATCACAAGTTTCTGGGGGGGAAAATCATCAGATTTTTACAAATTAGATATTTATATTCCTCATAGGGAAAGAGTCGATGCTTATCTCTTGTCCTAAATTTATTGTAATAATTCAGTTGCAAAATGGCTTTTCTTAAATTGTTTGTATTTAGTTATAGCTTATATTTATATAGCTTTCATGAAGGTTTCAAATTCATTTTATAGATGATGGAACTGAAGTCCAGAAGGGGCCTTGCCCAGGAAGTCAGGATTTAGCTTAGATCATCTGGATTCAAGTCAAGTACTCTTCCATTAGACGATGCTGGGCATGTAGCTGAAGACCTTGATAATATGCTGAATCCCAGTATTCTCTTCCACATGGCATATATGTCTAGAATCCATGATTTTTCTTTCTTTTTGGTGAAGGGAATATGATGTAGTGGAAAGTATGTTGGATTTGGAGTTGTGATGGTAGGAAGGACAAGGTTGGCAACTGATTGGGTGTCAGGTGAAGGAATCAGGAATGGAGAATAATGCAGAGGTTGTGAACCTGGGAATGATGGTGGTACCTTTGGTAAAAAAAACAAACAAACAGGAAGTTCAAAGAAGGGTGGGTTTGGGAGAAACATAATGAAATCTGTTTTGGACATTGGTTTTGAATCCAGACTCTGTTATCCACATGACTGTCTGTATCTATAAAATGAATGGCTTGGATCAGTTATCTCTAAGACCTTTTCTTGTTGTATATCCTGTGATGCTATGATAGTTGAAGCATTTTTTTTGAATCACCAAGTTTCTACATAGTTTATCATTATGCATTTCCAAAAAGGCTAATTGTCATTTTTTGAATGCTTAAAATTATTCTGATTCTTTTCTTGCAGGAACTCACAGAGGATGGGCAGCCGTGCAGATGCGCTTACTTCATGAATTAGTGTATGCCTCCAGAAGAATGGGGAATCCTGCGCTCTCAGTCAGACATTTGTCCTTCCTTTTACAGACCATGTTGGATTTTTTGTCTGATCAGGGTGAGTAAAGTTTGTGAAAAATTCATTTTTCTTTTTAAAGCACACTAATACTTGGACAATTGGAATAATTGTTGAGAACCAAGGTAAACAGGCTGGCCATTTCTCTGCCTCAGTTCAGGAATTGTTCTGGGAAGTAAATAAATGCTGTCCAGCAGGCTATGCTTAGCTGTGTGCATTTGTGGCCTCAGGGTGTTTGTTTTAAGTTAACACATAAGAGACACATACCTTTTTTTGAGTAAGTGGTGGGGAACAATTTCTGGTTTTTCAACAGGGTGAGAAGAGAAGAGAATAAGCATTTATATAATGCCTACTGTGTTCCAGGCAGTGATGTGACTTGAGTGAGGCATTAAGAAAATTATATAGGCAACTGTATGAAAGGATAAATTGAAGAGAGGACAGACTAGAGGTAGATGACAAATTATTCCAAATGAGAGGCGATGAATGGAAAGATGGGTGGAATTCTGAGAGATATCTCAGAGGCCAAATAAAATAGGGCAAGATGATGAATTGAATAATAGGAGAGGAGAATGAGGGAAAAGTCAAAGATGGTTTTGACATTTTCAACTTAGGTGACTGGGAGGATAGTAGGAATAGAGAACTTGGGAGAAGTGGCAAATACCGGGGGAAAGGGAGTGAATTTGTTTTGGGAAAGGTCTGATTTGAGGTGCTCTTGGTACATTTAGGTGACAATAACCAGCAGACAGTTGGAAATGTGTATCTGGAGTTTGGTGGAGATGTGGGGTGGGGGTTGAGGTGTGAGATCTGGATTTGGGAATCATCTTCATCAAAGTCGTTATAATAGCCCTTCTATCTTTGGCTCTCACAGCATTAAAGGTATGTTACATATTTGAGGATTTTTAACTTCTCTGGTTTATAGCCTCCACTTAGAAAATCTCAGAAAATCACTACCTGACACCACTCAGTGTTCTGATACAACTTCTCTCTCTTCCCTTTCAAAGATCTTGTTTACAAAATTAAAGAAGAAAAGTTTTATTGAATGACTGAGGAAAACAAAATAGACACTCTAACCCCACCCCCAACAGTCTCTTAATAAATAGACACCTACTAGGTAGCAAGGTAGTACAATGGGTAGAGCTCTGGGCCTGGAGTTAAGAAGACCTGAGTGCAAATCCAGCCTTAAACACTAATTGTGTGACCCTGGGCAAGTCATTTAACTTCTGTTTACCTCAGTTTCCTCATTTGTAAAATGGGAATTATAATAACCTACCTTTCAGGGTTATTGTGAAGATCAAATGAGATATAATTGTATAATATTTGTAAAGCACTTAGCACAGTGCCTGGCACATGGTAAGTGTTATATAAATGCTAGCTGCTATTATTATTATTATTGTTATTGACCAACTGTCATCTACTTCTAATCTCTGGGTAAATTCCTACAGACCCACAATCTTGAATATTAGGGGTCTTTTTTCCCCCAGAGGATGTTGATAATCTCTCCTACAGTAACTTCTTCTGGAGTTTGTTATTGCTGTTTGTTGCTGCCCTTCTTTAGTTCTTCCAAGAAGGAGGTCCCTGTTTTTTTATCATTTTAATTTATCCGTGAATAATAATTAGTTACTGCCAGAAGGAAAATTCTGATTATTGGTCTGAATCCGTGTGGTGACATTCTTTGATCTGTAGTATCTTTTCATGCTTATTTACTATTACAGATAAAATATTAGTTAATTTTGTAGATACTTCATCCACATTTGGCACATGGTTTAACTAGACACTTTGTAGTAAGGCAAGCTAGGTGACCCAATTCATGTTCTGCTTCAGACACTAGCCACGTGACTTTAGACTCAGTTCCTTCAGCTGTAAAACATCGGGGATTTTGTGGCCTCTGAGGTCCCTTTCAGTTAATCTGTGATTTTAGTGTTTGCTTTAGTGAGTGCTAAAAGAAAAACCAGTTCTGTATTTAGCTGTGGCCATCTGTGGATCTTTCTGTATTTCCCAAATCACTCACTATCCTTCTGGGAGTTTTTAGGAATTTGCATTTGGCTCCTTGGTGTTATCTCTCTGCAGTGCCTAGTGTGGTGCTCTTTTCACACCTAGGTCTTGAAAACATGTTTTTGTGATATCTCCCAGAAGTACTGGAGGGGAAAATAAATAAATTCTAAATCTGAATTTGAATTAAGCTGTCCTAGTAAGAATTCTTTCCATGATATTCACATAATTTTTTTTTAAAGTTTGAAGAGCCTCATCATCTCGGTTCTGGTAGCTGCCAAACACTTAGACTTGATTAAATTATATTTTTCAATCAAGCAGTTTATGTGAAAAGAAAAATGCTTCCATAATGGTAATGATTTTTTTCTACTTTTCTTTCTTCCTTTCCTTTCAGCTTTTCTCTTTCTCTCCCTTCTCTCTTCTCTATCTCTATTCCCTTCTATTTGTCTTTTCCTTTCCTCTCACCTTTCTTCCTTTTTTATTATGTATGTGGAGTATTATTAAAAGCTGAGAATCCTGGAATTAATAAGTACAACTTATATTCACTAGTCTTTTATGATTATAGAGTGCTTCATATGCATTATATCATAAGAGCCACACAGTCATTCTGTGAAGTCTACAAGATAAGTATTGTTATCTGAGTTTCAGAGAATTGACTTCCTGAGGTTGAGTGACTTCCCAAGATCTCACAAAGTAATACAAGCTAAAACCAGGCTTGAATCTAGGTTTCTCTTTTTTTTTTAACCACTTTCCTTTCTTTCCCCAAGTCCAATGATTTCATTACAAGAGTTTCTCTCAGTACAACCTCTTAAAAAATCTCAGAGTTGAAAGGTATCTTACTATTATAATATAGTAGTATAATTATTATATAATATAATATATTACTGTTCATCAGATTTGGTGACCTTACTGTTCATCAATATATGAGAATTTGTCATCCTTATCTTGAATATAGGTTCATAGATTTAGAGCTGGAAGGAACTTTAGAGTTGAGACTCATGGAGGTTAAGTGACTTGCCCAAGGCCATTCAGATGTTGAGCGTCAGTGCTAGATTTTGACCCCAGGTCTTCTTCCTTTATGAATTCCTCCTCCTATTTAACATGATTTTTTTCCCTCTAAGAAGGTGGCTTTCATATGGCCTCATAATAAAGCATATCTTTTTCATAGAGCACCCTCAGTTGTGCTCTTGGGAAGAGAGGTTAATCACAATGATAGTGCTGTCTTTGTGTTGCAGAGACGTCAGATGTGTTTTCATATGAAATGTTAAAGCATTATGTTGACTCTTTGAGGTCATATTAATTAATGATTCAAAGGCACTTAGGTTGAAAGCAGAAGCACTTGGGCCATTTAATAATATGGAACCAATAGGAATGTCCTTAAAGATCTTTAGGTTAATGGTAGTTAGTTTAATTGAAATCTCTTTGGAAAAGGACAGAGTCAGAAGGTCTAGAAGGTTCTCTTCCCACCAGCCTGACAGTAACTAGCTTGACTTTGGACAAAGTTTAATTCTTCATGGGCTTTATAAAGTTTCTTCATTTATAAAATTGGGCTGTTATTTTTGTATTGCAATACAAATACAATTTGTATTGTATTATTATTTAGAATTACTTTTATGATATGATAACCTCATATTTCCAAAGTGTTTTAGGTTTACAAAATGCTTTCTATACAACAACATTGTGAGGTAGGTAGTGCAGGTGTTACTGTTTCTATTTTGTAGATGAAAAAGCTGAGGCTGACAGGTTGTCTATTTTGAATTTCTCACCTGTGTACATATAGTTTCCTAATTGCACAGCTGGTGAGAAAAAGAGTTGGGCCTTGAACCTAGTAGTCTGAATCTAAGACAAGTATTTTACAGTCATGGCTTATGGTATTAAGCACATGACTTTATAATTAACATTTTCAGTTACTCTAATAGTAGAATTTAAGCAATAACGTGATTAAGTGGTAGGATTGGAGAGACTTTTTTTTGGTTTGGAGAGGCAGTGGGGTGAAGTGACTTGCCCAGGGTCATACAGCTAATAAGTAGCAAGTGTCTGAGGTGAGATTAGAACTCAGGTCTTCCTGCATCCAGGACTGGTGCTGTATCCGCTTCACCCTGTAGCTGCCCTGAGACTTTCTTTCGGCTTTTTCACCTCATGTAAAAATGTAGTGGTCAAAGACCATTTGAGATTAGAAACTCTGGTTTGAGTTCCTTACAGCTAGCAGATCTTGGGAAAGCCCTTCATCTTTTCTAAGACTCTATTTTCTCTTTTTAAGTAGGGTTAATAATACCTTTGCTTTTTACCTCACTACCATTAGAATCCTATTCTTATACCTACCTCATCGTGATGTGGAGGTTATTTTGTTTTCTCAGAGGCTATACTGACTGAGTCCAAGCTCCTGATGGTAAATTGGTCGTTCCAAGAACCAGCCTGGCTCCGTTTGGAGAGGCTCATCATCACACCTTTTGTAAAGTGGTGAATTTTTCTATCACGGCAGCTTTCAAGGACCGCCTACTAAGTTATAGAGAGATTGCAGCCTGCAGCGGTAGAAGGGGATGCCCAGATTGACCAAAATTATAGATCTTTAAAGTATTGTTGCATTTACTTCATGGGATAATTTTAAAGATAAAAAAAAGGAATGTGCCTATGTAACCTGTGCATTAAGGGGAAAAATAAGAGTTTTATTTTGTACATGTTGAGTCTGAGATGCCGGTGGGCCATCTGGGTAAACCTGTTGAGCACAGTATTCCTTCGATCTCATTTGGTAGGCTCTTCCATTATCTGTGTGTGTCTTTGCTAGGGTGGTGGGAGCATGGCAGAGGTACATGTTGATGGTTTTCACCAAGTACTCCCTTTTGTGTTATCTAGAATGCACGAGGTTCGGAAAGGGAGTATTTTATAAACTTGTAGCACATATTCTAAGATAACTACAATTTAATTGCCTATGATGCCTCTGCCTCCTTCTTGTACCATTCTTGTATTCTCTACCTTTTCCTCTGCTTTCTTGACAATCCTGATGTAAAGACACCTTGAAATAGGTTATATGGAACCATGGGTAGATGGAAATG